GACATTTTTATCTCTTTCCGAAATTAAATTAGCAAGAAAATTCGAATTGATGTTCTTGAAAGTATATGGCCAACATTAGAACTACCAAATCTAGAGTTCTTCAAATTCGAACATTCCCTCTTTCTCTTCACAGAGTATTTTTTTTTTGAAAGCGTCACAATTCCTCTCCCACTTCAAGATATTTCACGGTCAAAACTCTCGTTCGCGTTTTATGAGGTTCCCAAACTGTCCAGCATCTTTGCAATTCATCTGTAGGCTCCAAAACCCACTCAATTTTCAGGTTATCTTATTGAGCAATCTCAAATCCTTGAAGGGACCTACTTAAAGGTGTTTATGTTCCTAGCTGGCTCACCTAGGCAGATCTTGTCCCTTACACAATTTTGAGGTAGTGCGATATTTTGAAAAAGCTGCGCTGTAGGTTAGTAAAGCTTTAGTTTATGTAAAGCCAACTTGCATGTCACCTTGTCTCTTATTCGTAACTGAGAGACTAAGGCACATTGACACAGCTTTTAGTCCTAATAAAATCAATCACGATCGCATTGACTTTCTTCTATGTCACTCTTCGAATTTATAATGTTTGAAGGAAAACACGGGAATTTGAAAGTAGTTCCTTTAAGGTTTACTCATTCTTAGCTGAAGAAGCTTTTTTCCTTCTATGTTTCAAGAAAATTCGCATGATTACGCTGCATTTGTTCGAAAAGATGGTGTTTCGTACAATTATTGGCAACTATCCAATTAGTTCACACAGTATTTAAATGTCAACTCGATGGAGTCAAAGAAGCTTTCGAAGTTCATCAGCTTTGACAAACATCTTTCCATGTGAATTGAGAAGAAACTGCCTAAGAAATTGCCTGTGGTTTAGGCATTTCAAACGAACTTCTCATAAAAAAATCTTAGACAGAGAATGTCCCAAGTAAAGTTGCGAAAACCTCCAAAAACGAATTTTGCGGTTCTGGGATAATAACATTCACTAAGCACTTCATGGAGAACAACTATGTTGCTGAAATATGTTAGCAGAAAAATTAGAAGGACGGAATAATTGAGTATTTGGCGCAACTGTATACGGTGAGGAAACATACAAAGCACTCGAGAAATGAACTATGGAAGACTGCAGTACTTGCTAAATACCTGACTTTTTTGACTTGTGCTGCGCTCCAAATTGAACGTTCCATAATAGAAATAGAGAAGCGAGATGTCAAAAATGGTAGTGAGATAATGTACAAAGAATTTAAAGAACCCTTGATGATTTTCGAAGTGAAGCTATTGCAGCCAGTGGAGCAGCTTAATTAATCCAACCGCTGTCAGTTTAAGTGGTTTTGATTTCGCTGCTTCTGGTGCCGACTCATCATCGCTGAAGAGCGTAACCGAAAACTTTTGAAGACAGCACTGTATGACGTCATCAGCGCTACTTCTTTGGTGCCGGGCGCGTTGTCATTAATGGTAAACAACGCCGGAATATACACACTCCATGCTGACTCACATGGGGGTGCTAGCGCTTTATATAATAGTACCAGTCCAAAGCGCCGCTTCGCGGCGCTTTGGACTGGCTGTGCGTGTGGAGCGGGAATGTGACTGGAAGTCAAAACTTTGAAGATTCGTGGACTGCGAAGACTTTTGTATGCTCTTAAACTTTCACACGTAAAGAAAACGTAACGTAAAAAAATTTTTGTGATTGGGCCCATCCCAAACCCGACAAAGTAATCCCAACCACTGCTCTTCCCACCCGGGGCCCTGTTTCCCACATTAAGCGGCGACCCTCCAAACTGCTTTAGAATCTCCACCGCTCTAATCAGACTATTTTTATCGCTTCCCGAGACTATTAGCAAGAAAATTCGTGATATTCTTGTAAATATGTAGCCAATATTAAAACTACCAAATCTAGAGTTTTCCAAATTCGAACACTCCCTCTTTCTTTTCACAAAGTATCCTTTCTTGAAAGCGTCATACTTCCTCTTCCACTTCAAAAAATTCCACTATCAAAACTCTCGTTCACCTTTTATGAAGTCCCCAAACTGTCCAGCATTCTTGCAATTCATCCGTAGGCTCCAAAATCCACTCAATTTTCAGGTTATCTTATTGAGCAAACTCAAATTCTTGAAGGGACCTACATAAAGGTGTTCATGCTTCAAGCTGTTCACCTAAGCAGACCTCTCTTCCTTAAGCAATTTTGAGGTTGTGCAGTATTTTGGCAAAGCTGCGCATAGGTTAGTAAAGCTTTAGTTTATTTAAAGTCAACGTGCATGCCACCTTGTCTCTAATTCGTAGCTGATATAAACGGCAGATTCATACAGTATTTAGTCCTAATAAAATCAATCACGATCGCATTGATATCATTCTACTTTACTCTTCGAATTTTTGATGTTTGAAGAAAATCTCGGGGATTTGAAAATGGTTTCTTTTTTACTTTTTCCTAGCTGAAGAAGATTTTTGCATCCAGCTTTCATCGAGTTTCAAGACAGTTCGCATGACCACGCTGAATTCTTTCAAAGATAGTGTTTCGTACAAATCTTGGCAACTATCGAAAGGGTTTACACAGTAATGAGATGCCAACTCGATGAAGTCAAAGATTTTCAAAGTTCATCAACTTCAACAAACATCTTTGCATGTGAATTGAGAAGAAACTAAGGAATTGCCTTTGCTGTTGGCACTTCAAACGAAATGCTCAATCAAAAAAATCGTAGGCAGAGATGTCCAAAGTAAAGTTTGCGAGAAACCTCCACAAACAAATTTAGTGCAGTTTGTTTAAAATAATAACTAAACGCTAAGCATTTCATGGAGAACTTCAACTTCCCTGCTGAGATATGTTAGCAGAAAAATTAAAAGGACAGATTAGTTGAAGATTTGGCGCAACTGTTTTACGGTGAGGAAACATACTAAGCACTCGAAAAATGAACTATGGAAGGATGCAGTATTTTGCTAAAATACCCAACTTTTTTGAAAAACTTATGCTGCACTCCAAATTAAACGCTCCTTAGTAGAAATAAAAAAGCGAGATGCCAAAAAAAAAGAAGATGATGGTGGTGAGATAATGTACAAACGATTTAACCAACTTTCGATGATTTTCGAAATGAAGCTATTACAGTCAGTGGGACAGCTTAATCAATTTAGCCGCCGACAGTTCCCGTGGTGTTAATTTCGCTGCTTTGGTGCCAACTCATAAACATTGCTGAAGAGCATAACCGAAAACATATGGAGGCAGCACTGTATGATATGACGTCATCAGCGCGACCCATCTTGGCTGCCGGGCGCATTCCCATTGGTGGTAGACAACGCCGGATATTTAATAGACATCTATGCTGACTCACATGGTGGATGTTAGCGCTTTATATAATAGTATGGATTACTATTAACGAAGTAAAATGCAACAATTAATCAAAATACTTTACTCCCATCGTTCGTATTTAACTATTAATTTATTGAATTGCGTCTTAAAATTGCATAAACCATTCCCAAAGAACCAAGGTTTTGAATAGTTAATTTAAGTTAAGACAGGCATCACTACCATTGTGATCGCTCTTTGGGTTATGCCATTTGATCAACATCGTCTAAGACAGGCATCACTACTATTGTGATCGCTCTTTGGGTTATGCCATTTGATCAACATCGTCTAAGACAGGCATCACTACAGTGTGATCGCTCTTTGGGTTATGCCATTTGATCAACATCGTCCAAGACAGGCATCACTACCATTGTGAGTCATCAGCTCGGTACGCTCGCACCGGCGCAAAACGACATACATGTTTACACCTCTGCCGCGACTGACGACGTCAGATGGGGGTGCTTGCGCTTTATATATAGTACCAGTCCAAAGCGCCGCTTCGCGGTTCTAACTTCTAAACACATCCCACTTCACACACACAACCAGTCCAAAGCGCCGCTTCGCGGCGCTTTGGACTGGTTGTGTGTGTGAAGTGGGATGTGTTTAGAAGTTAGAACCTCTAAAGTTTTTTGGCGTACCTTTTTAGCCACAGGCACGCATAGCTAATGTTAAAATGCAGCGAACTGTGATCTTTTGAGCGCGTAATGACTTTGTAGAATGAGATTGTTCCTGACGTGGCTACTGCTGTCAATAATAGGATTTTTTCCCAGTAGAATCTTCATTAGCTAAGGGAGAATACATGCAATATGTTCAAAAGCTCGGTGCACGATGATAAGTAAGACTGTGTAAATAGCAATAATTGCTCGCCACTAATGTTCGGATTTACACAAAAGAATTTGCTTGCACTTTGGTTTGTGGGATGGATGTTTGAAGGTTATATGACTAATTCTGTAATCATGCTGCGCTAACTTTTACACTATTATTATTATATGTCAAATTTCTGAATCGATTTTTTGAATTATTTCTTGGATCAAAAGGTAGATGAGGTTCTAATGGAGCGAATGGTTCCATAAATTCCAATAACGTTCTCTTCTGCAAAGTGAATTCTAAAATAAGAACCCTCACGTGAACTTCTTACTCAAGCTGATACTGATATAATCTACAGAAAACTGTAAGCATCTTTTGTAATTAGCTCGATGCACAAAGAGTACTTCTTAGTTTGTTAGTTATCCTCATATCAGTGCTCAGATCTGTAACAATTGGTTTTTTTCTGAATCTTCGAGCGCAACCATTGAGTTGCAGTCTTTGACACCGCATTCCTCTTCGGATCTCTCTTTTTCATAACTCTGGCAAGCTTTTCCGCAATTTGGAACCATAATTCAAAAAATCAATATCTTTGAGAAAACATTTAAAAATATTTTGATGAACTAAGATATAGCTGGAAAATTTTGAGACCAATGAGTAGTCGAAGGGCAAACCATTGTTATGTTCATATAGAATAGATCTCAATAAAAAGTGATCGATTACCAATAAACAGGAACTTTACTTTAGAAAGACATTAATTAGAGCAAAATCTAATACATACAATGCAGAGAACGCGGAAGATATCTGAGCAGTTATTGACGTTGATTGCGTATGCATTTGAAATATACTGAACTGAATTTTGAAGCTGAGCGCAACTTCAATGAGGACTCACCGTGCGCGGCTTTGATAGGTTTACCATCCACAGTTCGCACGTATGATTTAGACTTCTTACGCATGTTGATTGCTGAAAAAAAAATTTGGTGACGATAGCTAACTGTTTGACATAACATACTTTGCTCGTGGCCTCAAACAGCAAATTGAGACGTGGTGAAATATTAGTTGAGCAGGATAGTCGTAAATACATCTCTGTTTTTTACTTTGGATATTCCTAGTTTAGTACTGCCTTTATTACTACATTGGTAACGCGGTCCTCCTTTTTGTGCACCTTAAGTCCCTCCTTCCGCCGTGCTCTTGATAAGGCGACATATAGTTGGCCGTGAGAAAACACATCAGTTGCTAGGAAAACTCCTACATTTGTCAAACTCTGTCCCTGAGCTTTGTTTATCGTCATCGCAAAGGACAAACGCAGAGGAAATTGCCGTCTTCGTAGTCGAAAAGGAACCCCGGTATCAGTGTAATTGTCGATGCGTGGAATCAGTACGAATTTCCCTTTTCTATCGCCGCACGCGAATCGACATCCCAAAATAAAACGGCCAAAATGAGTGACGATCAACCTAGTCCCATTGCACAACCCATTTCTAATGTCGAGGTTCCTCAGAAGCATCACTATCGAGCCTTCTTTCAGTCTAAGCCTGTGAGGAGGCAATGTGGCAGGTGCCAGGCTGTTCAAGAACTCGCTGGTATAGTCCGTTGACTGAGAGTCGTCGCTAATCACGTTGTCTACACTCCTATACTCATGAAGTGATCCGGGTAATTTTTCCAAAACTTCTTCGTTGATCCTATGTGCTTCTACATTCCGCGGTGTCAGTATTGCACGTTCACTGAGAGTTTCAAAATCAGTGAGTAAATCACCGAAGACTTCATCAATAAGATTCCCATCAGAAACTATCTCGGTCGGAAGCTGTATTCGACCCATTTCGTCTTCACTTGCTTCTCCATTTCCTACGCTCATTAGAAAATCGCACCAAGAGGAGCCTGATTCTGCAGCCCTCATATTGACTGATAAGCGATGTACACGGAATGATTTCCAAAGTTTACTATTTTTCACGCATGCGTCAACCATGTCGCACTCTCTTCCACGCTCTATGATTGGCAAAACTTGTCGAAAGTCACCGCCTAACACCACAGTTTTCCCTCCAAAAAGCTCGGTTGTGCACATCAGGTCTTGTAGAAGAAGATTGACTGCTTTAAGCGAAAATTCTGGAACCATACTAATCTCGTCCCAAATGATGGTATCAGCTTCCTTCAATACGGTCGCTTCCTTGGCTTCTCGACGCATTGTACATTCCCGGTTGCCAGACTTCATATTAAGTTTGAACGTAGAGCTGGCTGTGCGGCCTTCAGGTAGAAGATTGGCAGCGATGCCTGTCCAGGCCACGCAGACGACAGACTTGCGCTTTCCTTTCAAAATGTGGTATATGGCATTGTACAGATATGTCTTTCCGCTACCTCCAGGACCGTCGACGAAGTGAAGTTTACCCCGCCCAAAAACGGGAGAGGCTAGGATGTCATCTGCTGCCAATTTCTGTTGCTGGTTCAGACAATGGTACATCTCCTTGCCTTTTTGATCATGGTAGGCATAATCAGTCTGATCCGGCAATACTGGTCGACTCTGCACAGGCAGGGGAATGTTTACAGAGAGGTCGTAGCGGAGAGTTTGCAATTTGTCATACAGGTCGAAATAAGCAAGTGCTTCAGCTTCGGACGCCGTTGATCCTCTGTATATAAAATCCTCAGCCATGTCGCTTTTAAAACGATCGTACAGATTTCGTGGATTAGAAATCTCACAAAACGCGAGCATGTAACTAAACAATGCTTGCAGTTCCGCAGGCATCTGAAATCTTGCAGCTTCCTCCAGGCAGCTTTCGTAGTGAGAATCGTCGTGCAAGAGACCTAAAGCACGTGCCGCATCCAAAAATGTTGGATGCAGACGACCTTCAACTGTTCGAAGATCTTCGAAAGAACGCATGTTTTTCCGGTGAAGGAGTATCATGCGCAAACTGAACCTCTCCGTGTCATTAGGTGGAACAGTGTACATGCGGCCAAATTGACGGGTACCCCTTTCTCTTCTTTTCCATTTGCGTTCTTTTACAAAAGTGAAATGCTCTGGTAGCTGATGGTAGTAGAGTGTTCGCGGGTCCACCATTGCAGATTCTGCAGCATTTTCTCCCATATTTTCATATTCAATATTTAGCTTGAACCATGCTGTAAGCATGGAATCTCTGGCTGCTTCGCGCACTGCTGCCTCGCGTTCTTGCCCTGACTGGAACGTCACCGTTTGGAAATCAGGAAGATGGACTGCCAAACGATAAACAGTGTCAGATTTGAACTGGCACTCATATGAGAAAATATGATGCAAAGCTTCCGGTGCGCACACATATCGGGCATCAAGATGAGCCCTAATCTCATCGAACTTTTGGTTACGATCTTGTTGCAGCAGCCGCAGTGAAGCTCGATCTGGTCCCTTATACACGTACTTATATAAGTACTTCACTGCCTGTAAGTAACCGCATATTTCCAAATTTATGTGTGCATTGAGAAGGAGCAGGAGATAGCTATTGTAAGGCACAACATGCCTGTTGTCATAGATTTTTCCTCCAGTAGTTACGGTGCATCCATTGTCGGGCCTTCTGTATTTAGGATAGCCGTCTACATCGACATCAGTTGTTTCTCGATACTCCTTAGGATAACGCTTTGAGCACTCTCCCTTCACCATACATGGCGCAGTCGGATTTGTTGCTCCGCACTGACGATGAATCATATTTCTTGCAACGATGCTCAAAAGACGGGGATTCTCGGAGGCGCTTGGAATTTGCGCTTGAACAGCTGCGTCGACTTCTTCGGGACTCCTCGGTTTAGCATCTGTAGACATTATGAGAAGCATATGACAATGAGGAAGTCCACGTTTTTGCCATTCTATGATTCCTACATAAGCAGCAACAGATCCCAACACTTTCTTCTCGAAAAGATGCTCGTGCAATACCTTCAACTTTCGATGAAACACACGAGCAACCAAGTCAGGTCGGTCGGAAGCAGACTGGCCAGGAAACAGATTTTTGTTAATTTCCTGCCACTGAGGGTTGCACGTGAACGTCAAGAAGTAGTCAGGTTTGCCATATTTGGCGACAATAGACATCGCGTCTTGATAGGACTGATACATGGCACGGGGACTGCCAGGAAATGAAGATGGAAGGATGAAGCGCTGTCCCGGAGGTCCATCTACAATGTCGCTGGCCAAGTGATCCATAAGTCCTCTGTAACTGTCGACTCGAAGCTCCTTCTGATGTGTGCGCATGTAATTCAAACGGTTCTGCTCAATCTTCACATATGCATCAACCACAAATTGCTGCAGCAGTTTGCCGGCATAGTGAAGGGGGTTGAAGGAAGATCGTAGCGCAAGAAGACTGGAATAGAACTCGCGCTGCGTGATTCTAGTGCGAGTGCGGCTGCTCGGATTCTTCGTCAAATCCACATGCCAACACAATCCTCCTCTAGGAAACAGCAGCGGGTAGGTTAAAGGGTCGCAGCAACCGTCGATATCTCGAATGACTTGTAGACCGTCTCTCCTGTGATGAATAGCAAGCGCTCGGGTGGCCGGAACATCGTTATCTTCTCCAACATAGACAACCGCTATCTCATTCGCTGCGGGGACATTGTAGCGTCGGCGGTCGAGATTCGAAGCATCTTCAAAGATCATGCGAATCGTTGGTACCTCTCTTCCTTCCGCACGAGCTCGCTGCTCCTCCTCCGCAGCCACGTCTCCCATCATTTTGAGTGAAGCTGCATAACTGTTGTGAGTATGCAGCCATGATGTTAACTGCTGCATCACAGCAGCATTGCATTGCACATTCGCTGGGTTTCCACTCCTTTCAGCCGCTGCAGATTCTGTGTCCAGTATGTACACTTGACCAAACTGTGGACGAATTCCTTGCTTCGGTGTTAAGGGACCAACGTAATGATACACTTGGCCATGGATCCTATAACAGTATGGCCCAGAACCACGCGGCGTATCCACCTGGGCCCCCATTGAAGCCATGGCAAGGGCACTGTTATAGGATCGTATGTGCTGGCGGAAGTTCTTGCAAATACTGTCAGTTCCGGTGAAGAAAGAAAGAATAAGTTCCGGAAATTCCGAAAACAAATTCAAAGAGATGTTGCCGAAATTACAGCAGGCGTTGAAACATCCGTTGACTCGTCTAGCTTCACCGGAAAAATAAAAAGCCCCGCAGTGACTGCAGGCCACTCTCAGAGACCCTAAGTAGTTCTCCTCTACGTTGTTTACAGTCAAAGCTATACGTAAATTAGGAATGGATCTTTGCCGATGCTGTACAGCGTTTCCAGTTGCGCTTATCTCAATAAGAGGTAATTTTTTCGCATTAAGACGATATGTTTGCAGTGACTATCGTACCTGATTTTCGGCTCGTTGTGAAATGATGGTTTCATTGGATGGAAGTCTCTCCGATACATATCCCTTATAAAAGCTGTGATAAGTGTTAAAATGGAACTACTGCGATGCGAACTTACCGCGCTTTCGTTTTCTTCTGGGGTGGCTGCACGCTCACTTTCACATATATCGACTTCTAGATTTTGAATGACTGGAAAGTAGCAGTTTTCGTCGTTTGTATCATTCCAGCGCACTTCTGTATTATGTTGTAAGGTTTGAGAGTTAGTCACCTAAATCGAAGGTAAAACATTAACAGATTTTCTTAGAACAGAAATTATAAGCTGCTAGCCGCCATACCTCACTCGATTTTCCTGGGACCATATTCACCTGGGAATTTGAAGTTGCTGGAGCATCATCCTTTAAAAAATACATTCTGATTAGCGTCGTAAGGATGCTAGACTAATCGTCAACCTGTTCATCTGCATGCAGCTCAGCTGAGAGTGAACCATGTCGAATTCCCTTGTTATCATCAGAATAAAACAACGTAGTCACTCGGCGTTCACTCGAGCACTGCATCAAATCCGCCTAAAGCGTAATCGTATATGATCCTATAACGCTACAGACAGCTTAAAACTTGCCTGAGTTGCCAGGTTCTGGCTGCAAGTAGCCTCTTCTCTAAAACACTGTGTTGCATTGATCTAGAAAGGAAATTACAGGAGTAGTGCACTGCTACTGGTGATTATCTTATACGTAACGGATTTGCCATTGGTCGTTCGAGATGCAGTACAATGAAGCTTTGAAAAGCATGCTTCTAGGAGGTTTTGCAAATAAAAGAATGCATGCCTACCGTGTCTCCGTCCTCTGCGCTTATAGTATGTGGATCAGAACTCTGCTCGTAATTTTTCTCCTGAGCTTTTTCCCCTAAGTTGACTTGAGCTCGTTGTATCCTTCTGTTACGCAAGCGCAGCAGACGCTCTTCCTCCGTTTCGTCTGATCTCCTTTTTCTCTTCTTTTCCGCGTCCTTTGCAAGGCGTTGCGCTCTCTGCTGTGCAGATTCTTTTAATCTTATCAATCTAGCTCTTTCTGCGTTGGCTTGTAGGCGCGAGGCACGCCTTTCTGCAGTTTCATTAGATCTGCTAAGCGCGACCCGTTCAGACTTTGTTTGAGGACCTTGCGCGAGTTCGAATTGGTTTTCGTCTGAGGTCGACGTTCGCAGATGCTGCTGGGAACAACTTGGTTGCTGCATCTGCAATGGAGGTTGATAAATATAAGTACAGATAATCTGTATGCCATAATGTATCCAATTCTCAAAGCACCTTATGCATTGTTTTTGACAGTACATCGAAGGTGTTGCTCGGCGGTTCAAACGGCTGTAACAATCTGGTATAGCTGATGCTAATAAACACTCAGTATGCAACTCTTGCCTCATTTACATCTGAAGACCGTTTTCTTGACAAACCCGAGTGTTCACTTGGTTGCAGTAGCTGGATAGAAAAATACAGCTTACATGACGCAGAAAATGCATCAGATACTCACCTCATTCGTTTCTGACTGCTGTTGAGGACTACATGTCATCTCTGGCTCCGACTGCATTGCAGAGTAAAACAGGTTCTGAATGAAAAAAAAAGAATTTCAGTAGCTATTGACATCTCGCCAATTTCAACCGCTTACAGCATTCAAATTACCTGAGGTCATTTGTAATGATCAAAAACATCCAAAATAGTCATGAATATTTCTTTACGAATCACATCATTCTATGAATTGGATTGCTATGTGATCAGCATAAGGTTCTCAACCATTTTTTGAAAATAGCAACACTGCAGTCCATTCCCATTTTGGATCATTTGTTAAGTAAAAAGAGAAAGAGCCGGGTGGATAGATGGTTGGGCCTATCTGTTTCTTGTTCGAAGAGGCAATAACACAGCTGTCTTTTTGATGAATGAATTTGATATAAAAATTAGAATTTAGATCACTCAGCAAGAAAATTCTAACCATTTTTCAGACAAATGAATAAGCATTGATTTTCAATCATGTTGGATCATTCCCAAGCCAAAAAAAAGGAAAGGGTTCAAATTACAGATGTTATACATGTTTTTTCAGTAATTCACTACCAATCGTGTTCTGCTAAAAAATTGTGAATTTTTAACGAAAAGATTTTCAGCCATTCTACAAAACCACAGCATTAAGTAGAGATTCGCTTACATGGTATTGTAGAGATTTTGATCATTCCTCAAGTACAAAGTAAAGGAAAAAGGTCTTGGTGATAGATGATTGGGACCTACGTGTTACTTGTGAAAGAGACACTACCATACCATTAATTTTCTATACGATGAATATGAATGTTAAATCTGAACTACTCAGCTTGATCTTTCAATCCTTCTTCGAAAATCACAACATTGATCACATTTACGTAAGATGATGAACCTTTTGGTTGATTTAGATGCTAAAAAGAAGGGTGGAATAACAGTGATAGCATTCGCTCACCCTTTACATGTTGTTGATTCAAAATTGTCGCTTTATGAAAGTGGAGTTTTGAAAAGTTGTAATACTTTGAATGGTTCTTGTAAAGACGGCATAAATACCACTGATAGAATGACGAAGAAACGATAGCGAAGAAACAAAGAAGAGGAACATGACTATAGCACTCAAAAGCTTGAACACGCAGACGCAATTAAGGCGGCCATAGCAGCACTTAGAATTTAGGCATACATTTGCTACAATGAATGTTATTTTGAAAGAGGAATTCAGACACGGAGTGGTGCGCATTAATGACAGAGCAATTAGAAAAAACCGTCAAATCGGTAGAAGATACTAACAAATTTGAAATCGAGTGTGTTGATGGATTGGAAGCCTAAGTGGAGTAATGTAGAGAGAGACTGATTCAGTCAACATATGTTCTACACTGTACTTTTGTACTCACAACCATCATACCGTCTTTTCTGGAACTTTCTGAGAATAGTTGTTTACGCATGGGTCGTCTGGCAAATGCCAAGAATCACTGATTGATCGTTCTTTGGATCCAACATTCCAAGGATCACTGCTTGGTCGTTCTCTGGATCCGACATACTGCCATTAGTGGT